CATCCCAGATGAGGACTGGCCAGTGTGTCTTTGTAGGTTCATCCCAGATGAGGACTGGCCAGTGTGTCTTTGTAGGTTCATCCCAGATGAGGACTGGCTAATTTTGTCTTCGTTGGTTTATCCCAGATGAGGACTGGCCATTGTCTTTGTTGGTTCATCCCAGATGAGGACTGGCCATTATGTCTTTGTTGGTTCATCCCAGATGAGGATTGGCCATTGTATCTTTGTTGGTTTATCCCAGAGGCGTACTGGCCATTGTGTCTTTGTTGGTTTATCCCAGGTGAGAACTGGCCATTGTGTCTTTGTTGGTTCATCCCAGATGAGGACTGGCCATTATGTCTTTGTTTGTTCATCCCAGATGAGGACTGGCCATTGGGTCTTTGTTGATTCATCCCAGAGGCGGACTGGTCTTTGTTGGTTCTTCTCAGAGGCGGACTGGCTGTTGTGCTTTTGTGCCATGGCACATGGGCCCCCTCGGGCAACCATTATGAGTCCCCTCTCCTCCCCTTAAGAATAATCTTCGAAAGAATGCTGGCTCCAACTCATAATGAAATGGCACGACCCCTCCAAGGCCCTGCCCGCCTCTGGTTCATCATATCATGTGATATTTTGATCCAACGGATTTAGAACGCTAAAACTGAAGGAATGACAAGTTTAAAAAGTATTTACTCTATTTCTTTTTTAATAGATATAAATAATACTCAACTTTGTTTGTCTATTCAGCACAATTACAGCAGATCGTTGTAAACTGGATGGTGCTGCTCTGTGCTTCACTGTTATGGATCACGATGTTGTCACAAAAAACGACTTCGAGGGCGAAGTGTATCTTCCCTTACGAAACGTTCCTGGAGTTCGCGACGAACAAGAAAAGGAACCAAAACTTATGGAGTTGCCCCTGATCCAACCTAAAGAGAAAAGTATGTGCATTTTGTAATTTAAAGAACCGACAAAAAAAAATGTTTTTTTCAATGCTATTGTGATATTTAGTAGGTACAATAAGAACAAACGAATCTTCGTCAGATCTTTTTTTAAGTTTCTATTTGCAAATGTACGGTTCCTTTGGAGCTCAGTTTAAAAATTATATCAACAATGTTCTACACATTAATTATAAAAAGTAATGTTTGTTTCTCGAAATACTAGCTCCAATTGCATGTAAAAGAAATGAATTCATGATACTAGATAGCTTCTTCTGTTCATCAGATTTAAAAAATTTAATCCCTACTTTGGCAGCTTTATTCACTCATCTATAAGAATTACAATTTATAAATTTGTGATTGTGATTTTAATTTTTGTAAAAGTTATAGATATCACGGATATGGCTATATTGAAAGTTTATAGATGTTGAGCAAGTTTGTTCGCGAAACTGGTTCCAGTGAGTTAACCAAAAATCTTTAACATCTTTATATATTTACGATTTTTAAAAGTTTGTAATAAACAATTTCTTGGTATTTTCTAGACGAAATACTGAACGTATTAGAGGCTCGTACCTGGGACAAAACGGCCCATGACTTTGTCAAGGAGCAACGGACTAAATGATCGTAATCTGATGTGATGGTCTTTGTAAGAGTTGCACTGTTCTGTCATTGGATATCTGTCCACCTACTATTGTTTTGTGTAAGAGTTGCACTCACTGATATCCACCTATTATTTTCCTATTAAGGTTGTAATCCGGCTGTTTTCACCCGTATTTAAATGTGCCTGTTTATGAATGAATAAATATACAGTCCACCATATATGATTTCCACTTAGTACGTAACAGTGTTATAAATACGTAATACCACGATCTGAGCTGAGATAACATTTGGAGTTTTAAAACTATCAAGTTTGTGAACAAAACAAATCAGGAAAGTCAAAAAGAGAGATTTTTTTGTGTTTGATATCCTTTTAACTCTTTAAATAAATATCAGTTAGAAGTTTCTTCAAATTGTTGAAAGTGTCTAAAACATCATACAGGGACTATTATTGATTGAAGGGTTATCATACATGCATAACCGTTAATGTTATTCAATAACTTTGTTTATGTTCAATGTTGTGATATCAAAATGTATTCAGCTTACGCTTTCTAACGCCAAGAATTCAACATATCACCTAATCTTCTGCGTTGCCACCAGCTCTGTGCAATGACGTTATTAAAAGCTATCAATATTTTTGTATAACTGTTACGCCGTAGTTGCACTCTGTTTGTCATTGCTATTTAAACTAGATCACCTAATCTCTTTTGTTTTGTTTACCTAATGTAATAAATATATTTTCTCAAAGCTGAATCTATGAAGAGTTGCAGGTTTTCAAACTCTGATCAGCTAATGTCAGAAATTAAAAATAAGATTTATCAATTTCTTGATGCAACTATATATATATATATTGTTTGTAATTTCCAAATTTTGTTAAGTTATTGTGATAAAATACTTTACACGCTTCAACATTTCGTATGTATTTTAATTAATTTTCAAACGTGTATGAGCTACGACATTTTGGCGAGCTTTATTATTAAAATGTGTGAACTATTTATTATTATTTTTATTACACTTTAATAAGTCCAGAACTTGTCTCCGAATGTTGTATTTGATAATTAGAAAACACCTAAATAGATGACACTATTAGTTCTTTATTCTAGAGCACTTCGCGAAAGCCTAAAGATTTTGTACACTTGGTTCAGTAAAGTGTATGAGTAGAGTGCGAACATTTTATATGTCAGCAATTCGTATGTAAAAGTGGCTAATTGGAAAGTGTGATCATTGTATACATGTATGTATTGCCTAAACGGACTTGAAAATAAATTTAAAAACATTTAAATTTATATTGTTCATTTTTTTTTCTGTTTGTAACAGTGTAACAAATCTCAGTTACTTGAGTTTATGTTGTCATCAACAACATACGCATGAAAATATCTTCAGTCTTTTATGATACATATATTTATAGAGTTTTGATCGCACACCTCGACCTGAAGATTATATTAGAACTACAGAGTAGCTATATAGAATAGAACTATACAGTAGATATATAGATTAGAACTATACACTAATTATATAGATTAGAACTATACACTAGCTATATAGAATAGAACTATACACTAGTTATATAGAATAGAACTATACAGTAGTTATTTAGATTAGAACTATACAGTAGTTATATAGAATAGAACTATACAGTTATATAGATTATAACTATACACTAATTATATAGATTAGAACTATACACTAGCTATATAGAATAGAACTATACACTAGTTATATAGAATAGAACTATACAGTAGTTATTTAGATTAGAACTATACAGTAGTTATATAGAATAGAACTATACAGTTATATAGATTATAACTACAAAGTAGCTATATAGATTAGAACTATACAGTAGTTATATAAATTAGAACTATACAGTAGTTATATAGATTAGAACTACAAAGTAGCTATATAGAATAGAACTATACAGTAGTTATATAGATTAGAACTATACAGTAGTTATATAGATTAGAACTATAAAGTAACTATATAGAATAAAACTAGAGTAGTTATATAGATTATAACTACAAAGTAACTATATAGATTATAACTATAAACTATATAGATTATAACTATAAACTATATAGATTATAGCTGTAAACTTTGAAATTTTTACCACGAGCATTATTAGGCCTAGTGTGTTAAACCAACTCCTCTTCATTTTAACTTTGTTTTATCTTCAAAGGCCAAACTCTGGTGACCTTTATTCTATTTTCTAGCAGTATTATTGTTTTGTTTCAAAATAAATTCACATCCTAAAATATTCACGTGTTTAGTATCAGAGGACAAGTTTGCCGACGACGCAAAGTTTGTGAATTGACGTTTAATATTATTATTATTACTTTTTTCGTTTATGACTATTATTCTATTTGAAAGCTTGCATTTAATTTTTCTTAGTTTAAGGTTTAGTTGTTTTTTTAGTTGTTTACCATGGAGATATAAATATATATAAAATGTAGTGTGGTGATGAGGTTAAAGAAACAGTGTTTTCTATGTACGTTGCGACTTTATGAACGATTTTTTACTTAACTTTTATGTAACTTAGTTGTTTTTTTGGGGGGATATGAAGCTTATTGTTAACTTAAAGTATTGGATTTACGATTAACCTTAATCTCTCGAGTTTACCAAGCTTGGTATAAGGGTCAAAAGTATTGTTAGTAGTGAAAGTTTCCAAATGACAAGTCAATGAATCCTATCTCATTATAACTTTAAATATTTTTATATAGTGATTTCAAATTCGATGACGAGGAACCCACTTCGAGACTAATAATGGTTGGAGACGGCTTGTACTAAATGATGATGATGACAAAACCTTGTCGAAACGTTGTACATTTGCTGTTATGTTAAACTTATGTTAAAGTTTTTTCTTTATTGTCCATTCAAGCCGTCTCCAAACATTATATAGTGATTTATTGTATTGTAATCAGTTTGTTATGTCAAATTGTTTTCATTAACTTATGAGTCATTTTATAGTTATAATCTATACACCTATTTGCAGCCTTTGAATTTAAAAATTAAAAACCATTTTACAAAATATTGCCCGGTCATCAACAATGAAGAGTGTGTGGAGAAAAGGTCTGGACATCATGTTTTTTTTATATAACAATGTACATCTTGATTGTGCTGCCTTGTCGTCCCCGCAGTGAATCAGTCGTAAGTTTGCGGATTTACAACACTAAAAGTCGAGGCTCGAGTCCCAGTAGTGGATAAACAAACAAAACTGCCGTGTCATTTACGAGACGGTTAAAGAAATTGAATTCAGTGTGTTCAGCGGAATTACGTCTCGAACCTTGAACCCTTCGATCCGTACCTTATACGCTAACCAAACGTCAAAACCCTGCTCTTGAACTTACGATACATTCGAAGCAAAAGAAATAAAGAAGTAAGCCTGAAATTGCTGATGGACTCCATAAGCCAATAGATAATAAAATCCTACGCATAAAATCACTTATGGACCACTAACTAGCGTATGAGTCGCGAAGGGCCCGGCATGGCCAGGTGGATAAGGCGCTCGACTCACAAT